GTTTTTCAAACGAGGTCAGTTGGTGCGGTTCGTTCGGTGGAGTGCAGTCATTAAAACGCGGTCAGTACAAAGAAAAAAAAAAAAAAACTAATCTAAAATAACTAAATAAATTCACGCGGTTCGCAAACGCGAGAAAAAAGGCTATTTAACTTAAATTGGGTGGAAAAAAAAAACAACAACGTGAAACAAACTGCAGTAAAGCACGCCAGTGGAGCATAAGGCTGTGCGCGAAAAAAAAATACCCTTGACCAAGAAAAGAAAAGTTAATTAAAAAGTGAGAATCGAACTCGGCAGTGAAGAAAAGACGGCAGAGAAAGTGCGGATTTCAGGAAAAAGAAAAAGAGACAGTGAAGATAAGTTAAAAAAAAAAAACACACANTAAAAAACAAAAATAGCTAAAGTGCGTAAAAAACAAAAAAAAAGCCATAGGTCGTAAAAACAAAAATAGCCAAAGTGCGTAAAAAACAAAAATAGCCAAAGTGCGTAAAAACAAAAAAAGCCATAGTGCGTAAAAAACAAAAATAGCCAAAGTGCGTAAAAAACAAAAATATCCGAAGTGCGTAAAAAACAAAAAAAGCTATAGTGCGTAAAAAACAAAAAGCCAAAAAAAAAAAAAGTAAAATTGCGATAATTTCAACAAAACAAAATTTTTATTAAGTGAGGGCGTTGTATAAAGCCGATTATAATATCTTTGTGTAAAGGCTACAAAAAACTTCAGTTGGTCCAACAATTAACATCATCCCTACAGGGGTTTAAATAGGCAAAAGCACACCCGGCGACCCGTAGCAGCCAAACGGAAGCAACAGCACAGACGGCATTGGCGCCAGCAGAAAACGGCATAAGAAAGCGCCACAACAAAAAGGCAAGGTGTGGACGGCAGGAAAAAGGTCGCGAGCAGAAGTGGTACAGTCCCACAAAAAAAGCACAGGTGGTACCCATTTAAACGAGTAAGTGCCCACATCTTATTTTTCGCATATTGCCACAAACGTACATACGTATTATTGTATAGCGGTCTTCTCGCACGGTAAATTGAAAGTCGCTGAACTATCAATTTACCGCAAGTAACAACACTCAAGAGACATATGTATATTCCGTAATATATGTACCCATTTACATAATTCCCGCTTAACTCGATATTTCCCCTCAGAAAACCGCTATAAAATATACGCACATACATAATACAAAATCCACGTACATATATACATACTTATATACCCCGTCTCAGTACAACCGCACTTCTGATTGTTTTAAGTCCCGTAGTTCCTATCGGGCATTGTTTCCATACGGCACTCGAAAATATATTTAGTGGCATAAACATATATGTACATATGTACCCACGTAAATTTGGGTATAGGAAAAATTTGCGCGCTAACCACCCTGCAGCAAATCAAACTGGTTCAGAACTCACGCTGAGCTAGCCTGAAAAGGGACGGGACTGGTTCTTCATCTATCCCAAATCAATGCTTTCAACTGTCTTTTTTAACATGGCGATGTCCTACGAAGTGACAATTGTCGCCCTCTGCAGAACTTTTGAACTTGTTCTGAGCTGACTCTGGCTTAGATGGTTCTGAGACAGTTCGTATAGTAACAGTTCCTAGATAGTTCGTATAGTAACAGTTCCTAGATAGTTCAAATAGGGTCACCTCCAGGCTAGAACAATTATGGTTAGTTTTGAGCTGGTTCTAACAAGTATAGTATAGAGCCTTTTCTTTAAATACTGTAATTAAATAAGCACGCATACCATTTTGTAAATAAATAATACTTCATTTTATTTGTAAAAAGCTATTTAGGTTGCACTAGTTTACTTTTTAATACAAACTGTGCTTTAAAAATAGGAACATAAAGTGTCTGTACTTCGTTTTCAAACTCTACTCAAAAATTCTTCAAAATTTCAACTGAATTGCAAACGTTTTGATTGAATTTACCTGGACTCATATGGCTTTTACTTAAAAAAATATATTTTGGTTAAGGAACTAAAATTAGTTTTTCACGTCAATAGAATACTTCACGTAAGTAGTTGCGGTCAAAATAATAACAGCAAAATTCAAAACAATGCATTGGCAACTTGTCTTTATATATTTATTGTTAATAATTTTCATTTAAATTATGGGTCGATCTACATACAGATGCGTTCAACTAATTAGCAACGAAATTCAAAACCATATTGCTTGCAAATTATGTTTATTTGCTTATTTTTAATAATTTTCATTTAAAATATAATTCAATCTATAACAGAAACCACAATAACAAAAGTTGCAAAGCTTGCACAAATTGCAACAAAATTAATCAAACTTCAAAAAATTGTCATCAAAATTTCAAAATTTTTAACTAGACTATTTAGAAAATTTTCGGGTATGCAGTTTTGTAGCCCATTCAATTTTAGTATAATAAAGTGCATTATATATTAATTATATTATATTATTAATGCACTAAAACTGAATGTGCTACAAAACTGCGTACCAGAAAATTTTCTAAGTATTCTAATTCAAAATTTTGATGACAATTTTTTGAAGTTTGATTAATTTTGTTGCAATTTGTGCAAGCTTTGCAGCTTTTGTTATTGTGGTTTCTGTTATAGATCGAATTATATTTTAAATGAAAATTATTAAAAATAAACAAATAAACATAATTTGCAAGCAATATCGTTTTGAATTTCGTTGCTAATTAGTTGAACATATCTGTACATATATCAGATAAAACATAAATAAAAGTTGCAAAGCTTGCACAAAGTTCACAACAACTAATCTGATATATGTAGATCGACCCATATGTAAAATGAAAATTACTAACAATAAATAAATAAAGATAAGTTGCCACAGCATCATTTTGAATTTTACTGCTATTATTTTTAGCGCAACTGTACATATGTACGTTCTTTTCGAACCAATTTTGTTTTATAAATACGCTTACATTTTAAACTTGCAAATATACGTTAAGCTCTTATGCCAAAATTCAGTAAATAACTTAAGTTTGTACTTTCTTTTCTTATAATTATATTAAGGATTCAGTCCAAAGTGTGAATAAGGCGTTATATTAATTATTCAGTTCAGAAATTAATTACTGATTATTTGCTGTTGCTGCATTTTTAAAGTGGCGCTTTTTTTGAACCCTGAAAGCACGGCGCAATTGCTCTTCTGGATTAGTAACACCTGGTAATTGCGAAATGGCATCTAATTAAAGATACAAACGTTAGTTAATTTAAAGTTACAAAATATTATTTTCACATAACCACATGTGTATCTGTAGGCCATTGGACAAATCACTTTCAACGTTTTTTTAACTTCAGCAGTAAATAAATTATTTTTAGTTATATTGCATAACTCAGAAAAACCCGAGTCAAGTTTAGTTTGTGAAACATCCCAAGATACACATGTAGGTAGATATGTGTGCACGTATGTATGTCTGTATACCTAAAAGCGCAGCATAAAATTTTTTAAAAGACTTCAGGCTTTGTTTTCCATGTGTACCGTCTATGTTATATCGTATTATCATCGACTCGGCGAGAATGTTTCTGAAATTTTTATGGGCGGAATACTGAAAAAGTTTTCTCATCATGGAAACCTGTGAAATATAATTAATTTAAAGACTTCCATATCGACAAGTTAAAATTTAATGGCGTTTTCTTTTCTACCGAAACATTTTGCACAAATACTTAGGAGAGGACAGTAAAAAGGCACCATTTTCTCTAGAAAAGAAAACACCATTAGTAAGATTCAATGCTTACGTAAATGTCTCGGTTGTCCTGAAATATTTTTTCATCTACGGCGGCTAAAGCTTCATCGGTACAAATTGGAAAGAGGTCGCCAATGGGCGCAGCAAGAGATTCCTGGCGAATTAGCTTGCTGATTAAAATTTTATGTTCTGCCAAAACTGTCATAAGAGCTTTGTTTTGTAAAAGGTGGTTTTCTAAAATGAAAAATAATGTAATTTTGTTTTTCTCCACAGGTATGTATGCATATTACTTTCGATTTGCTCCAACTTGTCTAACATAGATAATTTCAAGTTTTCTTCGCGTTCTGAAGAGAAATATAAAGAGTCAATAAATATACAAAATGATAGATATATAAATATATAAATACTGAAGTAAATAGATATGCAAACAAATAAAAATACCTACGTACACTCCTCGTCATTTGACCTTATTTGACCCTTTTAGTCCTTAGTATTTCCGTTTGTTTATGCAATATTTACTTTTTTTTATAAAAATATAGCATAATGTGGCGAATACTGCGGCAACGCGAAGCGAACAACAAGAAAATGTCCGACGAAAGGCGTAGAATATTCGACAGCAAGAAATGTAAAGTGGAATACAGCGAACAGCGAGAGTATTAAAGAATGTGCGATAGATGGCACAACGTTCTAGAGTTGCCATGAGTTCGAGTGCAAGTATATAAGGCCGCTGCCACAGCGCACCAAAAAGTGCAGTTGTAAAACAGAGATCGATTGTGTTAGCGAGTTTTGCAAAGTATTGTAGTTGTCTTAACAAGTATTGTTAATTGTTGTTATTGCCGAAACAAGTATTTAAAAGTATTTGTTGTACAATAGAGTTAATTGTACTGTACTTTGGTCATATTGAGGGTTTGTTTAAAAATATTCTGCAAATCCGATTTTAAAATTTTATACGAATTTAAAAAATGTCAAGGAATGTCAACAAAGGGGTGCGCTAAACTAATGATCTGCAGTGGTTAACTTGATAATATTAAAAAAAAGTATTCGGTATGCAGGTTAGTACCCCATTCTATTCTGGTATAATAAAGTGCCAGTTTAAAGCGATCGTAAATAGCGTTGATTTTAGAAAATTTTGCTATATTTTTATTTAATTAATTCATTTAAAAATTAATGAATAATAAATAAACAAACGGAAAACTGAAAATACTAAGGAATAAAAGGGTCAAATGACGAGGAGTGTATATATATATATATATATATATATTTTTTGAGTATATACATACCTTTAATTTCATTAAATTGTTCTTGAAAATTAACGCATCTGGTGCACTCACTTGTGGGATTGGTAGCTGTAGTAAATATAACATAAATAAAAAAATGTTAATTGGGTTTCAAATGCATTTATTTTTGAAAATACTTACCTTGCGGAAGCAGATCGCTACGAACTTTTAACCTCTTAAACGACATTGCGATTTTATCCTTTTGTATATATTTCTGTTATTAAAAAAACGAATCTGCGAAAAGTGGTGTTAAATACTTGAATACTCAACAACAACCATGTAAGATTGGAAGCATGAGTAAGCGGCCATCGTGTGGCAGACCCAACAACTTAACATCTATATCATTAACGCTGAATATTTGTTCTTCATCTGATGGCTACAAAGGCAGACAAAAAACTTTCAACACAGTCAAGTTTCTTAGCGCCCAAGTAAATTCCTACAGGTAAAATAGGAGTATTTTCCAAATTAACAATCCTAAGCAAAATTGGCCAAATCTGTGTACGCGAACTTCTGTGTAGGGGGGTAAGCCGTCAATATTTACATCCAGAAGGATTGACTCGCGTATATCTCTAGCTCTAGCCAACTGTTCCAACAGTTTTTTGACCCCTATGTGACAGTAATGACCGGGAGGAACTATCTCAATTAAAGCACGTTGCCTGCAGCTTGCAAGAAGGCCCTCAGCGCTTTGAGGCACATCTAAATTTTCACTTTTTAATATTTTTAATAAATCATCGCAACACTTACGCGATGGTCTATTGTTAATGTACCACTCTTTTAATTTTGATCGCAAATTGTTCTCTTTATATATATTTGCACCTACTTCCGCAAGCTCCTCAGCTAATGGTTGCGCATCTATTGCTGACTGCGCACTTGGCTCTTCCACAGATTCTGTTACATTCCCACTACCTTCACCAGCACTTAACGTTTCGATATAAACGTCGGTCTGCCTTTTAATTAATCTTCTGATATTCCGCTTACTCATTTTATTAAAAATATTATTAAGTTTAATCACTTTTCACTTGTTTTCGCTTTCAATTATCTGCACGCTTTACTAGACATGTGCGCAAACAGCTGTTGCTGGAGAAAGCCGATTTTCGATAATTTTGTGCAGCTGCACATTTAATAATATTCAACTCCACTGTAATATCGATACGTTACTAAAATTGCTATAACTTTTCTAATTTCAAATGGATTTGAAAAGGACTTGAGTTTATTTTCTTTGATGTTTATTAAGCTGTAATATAGTAAGGAAACAAAGAGAAAACCTTTGTTCCCTGAGGTGAAGTTAACAGTAGAATCACGATGGGACTTGAAATTGCGATCGATTTCTCCAAAAATGTGCAAATAACTCTTAAGCTTATAATAGGACTGCAAAACATTATGTAACAGTGTAATAAGGAATTAGAAGGGTTTTAATCTTGGCGATCGGAAAAGTGGAACTGAAGGTTTTTGGAAAAAAGTTAAACCGGGAACCGATTTCGATAATTATTTTTTTTATCGGAAAGACAGTATACAGTATAGAAATGAATTTAAGAAGGATTTATTTCTGAACTGTCTTTATGAGAGTTGCCACGTGTTAAAAAACTCATATTAAACTTAATTCATCAGTTAATTGCAATATGTATCACAGTGCCAGGCAAAAGGGATTTAAAAATATTTAAATTTGAAAATTCGAATTCATTCACAAGTTAAATTAAATGTTAAAATATGAGTGCCTGTTTATAAATTTAATTTCAGTCTTGGCGTTTTAATGTATCCACTCCGATTTCATGTATGCGACATTTATGGGAAAGTGCCAATTGAAATACATGTGGTCGGTGAGCAGTGTTACTTCTTTAACAATTCTATGCCTAATAATATAGTTGAATATTTTTTATTGTTTCTCAGTATACACATTTTGTTTTCTTAAAAAAGTATTTTATCTTATTTTATTTTTTTTCATGACCAATATACTATAAAAAAGCAAATTTTGTTTAGAAGAAAATACGAAATTCTATATTTTTCCCCCAAACGGGGATTAATTTCTTCCCGTTTTTCTTCTTATTCTACTGAGCTAAGGCAGTGTCAAATCGAGCTGTCACAACTGATACCACCTTGTATTAGCTTTGTTTCTTAACAGATAATTATCACAAATTATCACTAATTTCTGCTGGAAAGCGTTTCTTAACCTAAAAAAATAGCAGAAACTAGCAGCTCTCTCTCGTTCTTACGCTCTTCTTTTTTTGGCTCTCCTGCTAATTTCTGCTAGTAAAATTTTTACTAGCAGAAACTAGCAGCTGTCAAAATGGATAAACAAAAATTCGCGCCAAATATTTTCAATAGTCAAATACACCGATCAGCTGATTACTTGCTAGTTTCTGCTAGTTTTGCGTTTCTTTACTTTTTCGTAATTTCGCTCTCTGTGAGCTAAACTCTTTAAATTTTCTCATTCTTCTTCTTCCTGATAATTATCTGCTGGAAAAGAAAAGAAACAAAGCCATTATTGCATCATGATGTGAAAGCGCTATAACATTTAGTCCGTTCTTTTGCTCGCCCGCGGGTGCCCGAAAGTGCCCAATTTGTGTCTCTTTGGTTGGTTCTCGGGCTGTTGAGAACCACTTTGAGAGAGTAATTTTTGCCTCTCACTAGCCCGAAGTCGGACTATTTTTCCGGGCGAGTTTGTGAAAACTGCCGGAGTAAGAATTTAAAACATTCAAATTTTAACCAATAAATATGTGCATATATATTTAACTGTTTTTCTTTGATTCATAATTGAGAAAACATTAAGTGAACTATTAAATTAAAGTTATTGTGTTCGCTGCTGCTCAAATCTTAAACTTGTAATTTTTTGCGATTTGACGTTTAGTTTCGCGCATGAAAGTGGGTTTTTGTGTTCCCGTGGTTTTGGACGGTTTATGTACTTTTGTGAGAGCATTCCGTACTTATGCCCATTTGCCCGAAACTAGCCCGAAAATGTAAAAAACAAACCTATTGATGACAACGCAACAAGCAGCACATGCGTTTGAACCGTCCAGCTCTGCATCCCTTTTGCAGTAGTTCAGAGACAGTTCTGAAATTTGTAGGGCGGAACTAGCGCTTTGCCAGACTGTCCCTAAATTTTGCTGCAGGGCAAATACATGTATATTTGTATATGCACATACATACGTTAACAACTGAACCCTTTTGATGAATATTTCTCGCGCGTACCTCGTATATACATATACATCGATCAATACCCGCTACCCGTTGTCTCACTACCCGCTATTAGGCAGTCGCATAGCAAAGACACTTGCATGCGACAGACATACGTACGTACATACATAAAGTTTACTCCATATCCACACGTACATACTCACATATACGCATGACCCAGGAGCATAACACACGAAATTGTGTTTGCAATTGTGTTTTAGTCAGCGGTACCCCAAAAGAAACAAAAATCGCTTTTCTCTTGTCTGCTTCTTCCACATATGCCATAAAGATTCACCCAGTTTGAAAAACGATTCTGCTACAAAATTTGCGACACATACCTACATATAAATATATATATACATACGTACATACTCACAAGCCGAAAAGACAAACGGTATTCCCATCTACGTACGTACGTATATATATATAACCTCTTGCATATTTATCTATTTCGCTTTGCTCGCTCTCCAACCACCTTTTAATAATAATAATAATAATAGATTGGCGCTTACACATATGTTAGTGTTTGGCCGAGCTTCTCCTCCGATTTGTGGCGTGCGCTTTGATGTTGTCACACAAAGCGGAGGGACCTACAGTTTTACGCCGACTCCGAACGGCGATTGTATTTTTATGAGAAGTTGTTTTTCATGGCAGAAATACACTCGGAGGTTTGCCATTGCCTGCCGAGGGACGACCGCTGTTAAGAAAAAACCTTTTTTTCTATATTTTTGCGATGTTGCTTTGACCAGGGTTTGAACCCAGGCATTGTGGAGTGGAAGCGCGCACTGCTTACCACTACACCAAAGCGGCCGACCACCTTTTGCGCTTCCAAAATTTGCAACTCCAGCAAATACACATACGTACACATACGTACACACGTACATATATACTATTGGGCTCAGACGGGCTAAAGCAATACAGCATCACAAGGAATAAATATATTAGGGTGCAACTAAAACACAACAAAAAATGAAGTACATACATATGTATGAATGTATGTATGTATATATATATTCATGAACTTAATTAAATAGCAGAGTAAATTTTAGATTCACAAAATTATCACCATTAATTTGGCCATCCCTTTGATCCACTTGATTTCACTGACTAAATAAAATACCAGCCACCCTTATAAAAGTAAAGTCACTTTTACATACATACGTACGTGCATAAATACGCGCTTCTTTAGCTCTCTTTTTTCTCATTCGATAGCCACATATATGTATTGAACGCTGTACATACTTCCCCAACTTGCTCAATATTGCACTGTACAAGCAAAGATAGCACAGTGTAATAAAAATATTAAATAGCACA